TTGGAAGTAATTTATTGGTTTCAGTAATTTATTTTAATTGTGTTGGTAAATAATAAATAAGATTAAATAACAATGATTTTATATATGACAATTTTTGTTACAATATGAGATTTGCAGAAGTTGAAATATACATGAAAATTTTATTTTATATTGTTGTTTTAAGGGTGGTTATTGTGCCAATGAAAAAAAATGGTAAATATTGAATTATACTATAGAATACAATTACCGATTATGTTTATTAATTGATTATCTTAGGAGGCATAATTAATTATACACTATAGTATATTCAATATTTACACTTTTCTTATTACATTATCAGGGATGTGGTTTGTAAAAATTTTGAATTTTAAAAAGTTCACCATCAAGCATTGGTCTGTATGCATGTAATATTGGAATATGAATAAGTGATGTGAAATATAAATGATTTTTTTGATGAACAAGAATACACTATTTGCTACATTTTATTGATTAATCATAAATTTGTAATTCTTTTTATTGCAAACAAATATATGTCATTTGTGATTGTAGACAAAGATTATAATGAGGTATCATGCATGGGGCATGCAGAAGTTACTCGAGAAAATTATGATTAGAAATTAATTAACTATTATTATCATATATTTAATCACTATTCAAATGAAATCATATTAATCACTGTTCAAATGAAATTTACACATATTCTTAATAAATAAAAAAGTCAAGGGCATTTATGCTATTTTTTATGTAATATAATTTTTACACAGTTTTTGATAATCACATCAATCATACAAAATTTCATTTCACTTTTTATTTAAATTAACTTATTCTTTTCTCAATCCAAAAAAAAATCACTTTTTATTCTCTTTTTCCTCCTTTATTTTCCTTTCCGCTCCTATCCTAATCCAAATAAACCCTAAGACTGTGTTTGGATCGAATTCAATACTATGTATGAAAAATTGGAGGTTTAGATTGAGGTAGGACTGATTTCGGAATGTATTGTTTGTATAATTTTGAATTTCAATATCTATATTAATTTGGATTTAAATTTGAGAAAAATTTGAATGTATTGTTTGTATAATTTTGAATGATAAATTAGTGGACAAAGTTGACTATTAGTTGACCATTCAAACGATGCCAGCACTGAAAAAGAATACTCATTACACAACGCTTCCATTTAGCCTCTAATAGGACAGAAAATAAAGCGATAAGCCAAAACTATAAGTAATGATATTTAATTTAATATAAAAATAAAAAAATTCAAAATCTCTTGTCTACCTCTTATTTGTCAATTCAATTTTCAAACTTTTCTCTTTCTTTTTATTTTCTCTCGTATAATCCAATCAAAAAGACTTACGAAAATTAAAATTAATAAATATCCTCGGCCCCAAATACATTATTCTTGTCATTAAATTAAATACTTAATAAATTATAACTTTTTTTTAAGTCCATGAAAGAAATTATTTATATTTTATCGATAATATTATTATGTTAATTCTCTTAAGTTATCCCCATAATGCTTTTAGAAACTTGAATTAAAATGAAGCTATTTCTAATATTTTCATAAGTTTAAAAAAAAAAACTTGAATTATACATTAAATTAGATGTTCTGGAAGGAGGTTATTAGAATTAGATTGGAATAAACAATAATTCGTAATTAAAAAAAAATTATTTTTGAAGTGAATAGAAAAGAAAAAGTTTGGATAGAAATATGAGAAAACATTATAAGACGAAGAATTAGCATTAACTAACCTTCCTTTTTTTTGTCTCTAAGTTGTGAAAGTTGAAGAAACTTTGTTGAAAGCACGGTTCATTAGAAAGGACATCCTTTCTGTTCCTTGTCTTTCGGCCACATTTTCTTTCTACCCTCTAAATGGAGACTTTTTCTCCAAAGAATCAAAACACAAACATTTTCCTCAACCCTCTCTTCTTCCCTTTTCTCTTTCTCAGCCCACACAAATTTCCCTTCGATTCACAATTCCACCTTCACATTGCCGTCAAACCTCATTATCATCACTCACACCAACTACTTTATCTTTTTCAATTTTCATATCTTGCGTTGAATTCTTCGACCAATATGCCATTGCTTCTCCAAAGGGTCATCTACAGTTCCATTGATTCCCCCCACAACAATCCGAGGTGAGGAGGGACCACGTATGTAATCAGATACCACCATGAAAAATTTGCTTTCTTTCTTTTGATGCACCAAATGGGGGTCTAAAATTTTGTTCCTTTCCAAAATTTGTGACAAGATGATGCATTTCCATCGTTCTTTGAGATCACATTCAGTGGGAACAATTCTACCCGACAAAACCATAGAGGAGCCTTTGCCTGGCAAACTAGCACAAAGCACCGTCACATGTTTCTACCAAGCCAATGTTATGGGCTATTGGAGGAACGTATCTGTGTTGTGGTGCAAAAATCACATGAACCATTCCTTGCACGTCACGATTGATAGCGTAGGAGGTCAGGTGCAGTATAGTTGCAAGATTGACGTGAAGCCTTGGCACTTTTGGAGCAAAAAAGGGTACAAAACCTTTGAGGTTGATGGCAACCAGGTTGAGCTCTATTGGGATCTCCGGTCGGCGAAATTCTCCGGCTCCCCAGAACCGACCAGCGACTACTACGTAGCCTTAGTGTGTGATGAAGAGGTTGTGTTGTTGTTGGGAGACTACAAGAATAAGGCTTACAAGAGAACGAAATCTAGACCAGCCCTTGTTGATGCTATGTTGTTGGTCAAGAAAGAAAACGTGTTTGCCAAGAAAAGCTTCACAACGAAGGCTCGGTTCGATGAGAAGAGAAAAGATAGTGAGATTATTGTGGACTGCTCAACTGGGGGTCCTAATGACCCTGAGATGTGGATTACCATAGATGGGGTTGTGTTGATCAATGTTAAGAACCTGCAGTGGAAGTTCAGGGGGAACCAAACTGTGATGGTTAACAAGCAACCTGTACAAGTGTTTTGGGATGTGCACGATTGGCTGTTTAGTGGGTCTGGTTCAGGGCCTGGTCTTTTCATCTTCAAGCCGGGGCCTCCAGAACCGGAGAATGAGAAAGAAGACAGTGTTATGGAGGGTTGTTGTGAGAGTGATGATGACAGTGTTGGATATTATTCAACTATCAATATTGCAGCCATTGAGTTCTGCCTCGTTCTCTATGCCTACAAAATTGAGTAACAGAGAAGAGAGAGCAAGTGTGATAGTTGAGGGCAAAGAGTAACAAGGTTGTAAAGATAGGTGTATTTTTCTGTTCTGGTGGATGTACTACTTCTATTGTGAAGCCAATGTTGCTTATGCTAAGTAACTGGCAGATTTTGATATCAGAATAGAGTGATTCATATTTGCAGGATGTTTTCTTAAAAAAGACTATCTATTTTAAAGCTACTCTATGGCTCATGAAAATTTTCACTTTTGTGAGCAATCGCCGTATGAGTAGATACCAAAGAACATTACAACTTTCACCAAATCCTAGTAATGAACATGATTTCTAATGTTCTATTACTCTGTGTCAGGAAGGATGTTTGGTGGAAATATCATATAAACTTCTCTCAGTGCAAAAGGAATAAACCAGCTGAACTCTACTTGCTTTCCAATTACCTTCTCTGCTATTTCTTCTCAAACCTGAATTGCATGTGCATCTTGAGACTAAATTTGTGGACAGAAGATGTGTTTCATATGATCTAAAGTGGATCAATATAAGTTTAGATTTTTCTTTAGTAGTTTTGATTATGCTTTTTTTGCAATGAAGTGGCTGAATTATCACATAGAAAGATGAAAACAAACAAAAGAGATTAACCATTCTCATATTTTCATAGTGGTAAATAATCATGCATTGCAATGAGTGATAGATGAATTCTAAATGAAAATTTATGATAACTTTGCGGAATTCTCTGTTTTTATCTTATCAAGATACTTATGATAATCAATTTTATAACTTATTATTCACCTTCTCATATTTTTTAAATGTAATTTCAATATTCATTTTCAAACTGATTATGAAAACAAGCATCTTCCATATTCTCATCACATCAAAGAGCATCACATGGGAAGGAAATATGAACCATCTTCTAAATTTGAAAATTTTGTAGTTTGTATTACTATTGGTTTTGTATACAACATTTTTCTATGTAGAATGGTAGATAATATCTTATGAATCACATTTCCCTTTATATCATACATCATTCAATATTAAAAATGTGACCTATGGCAGTCAACTCAACCCCACCACTCTCTCACAGTTGCACAATTACCTAATAATCAAACCCACACAATTATCCATAATAGCAAACTTTTCAGTCTTTCAAAATTATCATAAACAGAAAGCATCAATTCAAGAGTATTACCATTTAAAATTTCAGAAAGTGCTATTACTAATCTCAAATTTAAGACAGGCAGAACAGGAAAGAGAGGAATAATTAACTACACAGAAACTTAGGTGTTGATTGTTCAAATCCTGTCAAAAGATGAAAGAATATTTTTCACTATTTGTAGCTATGCTAGACCACAAAGGGAGAATGTAAGAAAGGAGTGGCGAATGAAGAGACACATACACAAAAAAAGGAGAGAGAGAAGCAAGCAAGAGTCATGTGAAGGGATCAGATAGTGTTGGTTATTTGAATTCTCTACTGAAATTGTGTTGTCTCTCTTTTGAATTTTCAAAATATAATGATGGACATTGGTTTTAATGTTTTAAAATATATTAAAAACTTTTTCAAAATACAATATCAATACATTTTGAAGACTCAGTATAGGGACCGTAACATAAACTCAGCAGAGAATCTCAATTCGTTTGAAAACATCTATTGACAGTAGCAACAACAGACAAAGGTTGCGCAGTTTTACACTCTGGTAAAAGCTTTTGATAGAGACTTCTTTAATTATGCAGCATGCTACCTTGCCACACTTGATTTTGGTACCATTTATTGTTTTTCTTTTCCAGTGATACAGAACAGAAAAGTGGGGACCAGGCAGGTATATGTGACAAAAACCTGGGCTACAAATAATTATAAATGTCCTTTGCCTGAGTTTTATTTACAATTATAGAAAACATTAATAAAGCTACCTTTATATAATTTCCATCCACATGGTTCTCAAATCCTTTGGATAAGTTTCAGCCATCTTTTCTTCCTTGTAGTCACACTGATGTATATAATCTAAATTGCATTCAACAGTTTAAACCTTTTTTCATCAATCAAAGACCTAATATGAATAGAATCTATATCACATGAGCACCGAAATTACAATTATATTGAGGCCAATCAGGAATAAACGAAACTGACAAGATGTTGACAACTCTGAACAAACAATGAACAAAATTTTATGAATGAATATGATTAGGTACAGAGACAAATTTATAGCTGTCATCATCTTCAATGCCAAACACTGTATGCTTATTCTTTTCCCTTTGAGGAAAATCTGCAGAATGGTGTGAAGGAAGAGAAGGATGATCAGAATTGGTTTCATCTCTAAAACTTTTGCGGATTTCCCACAGAACCTCTGCACAGTTCTTCATAGGTGGCCGTGATTGTTTCAAAGGAGCAACGCATTGGAAAGCTAGCTTGAGAACCTGTTTTACTGCCTTGATGGAGGCTGGATTTCTTCTCAGCCTAGGGTCCATGGTAAATACAGCATCCCCTTGTTTCAGCATCTTCATTGCCTGCATCCATGCAAATTATGTTCCTTTAATTACATATTAGACTTTGACATTATATTCAGACTTAGATTCTAAGCTTAATTCAGTGTCACAAAAATCAAACTTGTAAAGTAGTCTGTTCATATTTTTAGGTGATGTAAAATATTATGATTTAGTTATAAGATAATTTGACCATATCTCTAATCAAACTTGGTAAGGTGAGGTTTGTATCTATTTATATATTAAATTTGTCTTATCTTTAGTTAATGTGAGATCTCTAACACATTCCTTCACATCGAGACATATATTTTAAGCATAAGACTAAAAATTAATAGGGAACCGACACTAAATGGTACGATAGGTCCAACAAACAAAAACTTTCACTAGGATAGTTTTTTATATGGGACTAAACATTAATAATAATAGATCAATAGTAGATGATACAATAGGTTTAATTGAAAAAAACTATTCACTAGGATAGTATTAGGATGACTCTGATATTATTTTAAGAAACAAACTTTAAATCTAGTTCAACCTACAAAACTGACTAGTAAGATGAAGTTTGTAGCATCTTATATTATGTAAATTCATCTTAATCAACATGGGATCTCCAACAGATAACATGGTAATCTGCATAACTAATTATCTCACAAAAATTAGTGAATCAATCGGAAACATGACCAAAGCTGACCCTGTTTAGCATGGAAGACTAAGGATCTAACTTCATCACTCGATTAAACAAAAAATGCTTATATATCACATCCTCCATACACATTCTATGAACAGAGAAACTGAAATTGACTTCCTTTGCTAGCAAGTAGATTTATTTTTCTATGACCATAGAATTTATTCACTGTGCACTTCAAATATAAGAAGTCTTCACAGCTGGACTAGGCCAGAAAAAGAAGGAAAGGGACCATTGCACTTACGTGTGCATAAGTTTTACGATAAAAAAATTAACTTAAAAAGAACAACAGTTAGCATAATGTTAAGTATAAAATTGCCTTATGTAAAAAAAAAGCACTTATAAAAGTTTATGTTTTTATTAATTATTATAGATGATAATTTAATCTTCAAGGTAACTAATAACAATGAGTTAGCATCTCCTATTTTTTCTCACATATACACCGACAGATGGTATCTAATTAGAAAGACAAAGCAAACTTCTATTTGACTAAAGTTTGCTGAAACTTAGTTTTCAACCAAATAATGTGATGCTAGTAGCATTTATCATAAAGAGAATTAGGTATTTCTCTCTAGATAAGATACCTCCTATTCCCCAAAGCATCAATTCTCTCTCAAGCCACAAGATACCTCCTTTCTCTTATTTATTATTTGGGCAAAATGTCTTGTTCCTTCAACCCACTAACCTAACTAAATAATGTGTATCTATCATGCACCCTTTTAAATTGAGGGTGTTGCCAGTCAAAAGTTCACTTCTTGCTTGCAGAATGTTGATTGAAGTTTTGTTTGACTTTCATAAGTAGTTTAAACAGTTACTGCTTACTCCAAAGTAATGTGGTAATTTACTCTTTAAGTTGAAATTTTGAAGAACTGATACACTTACCCATCTGATTGTCACTCTTTCATCAAGGGGTCTCTTTGGTTCAATTGGATGTCTTCCTGTCACCATTTCAACAAGCAAAACACCAAAGGAATAAACATCACTTTTTTCAGTGAGTTGATATGTTCTGAGATACTCAGGATCCATGTAACCAGCTGTTCCTTTTACTTGAGTTGAAATATGAGTTGCTGTAGGATCATCAGATAACCGTGCAAAACCAAAATCTGCCACTTTGGCCTTTAGGTTCTCAGTGACTAAGATGTTTGATGCTTTGATGTCTCTATGGATAATTGGATTATCTGATATTAAAAACAATACAAGACACAGTAAGGTTACTTTAGCAGACATTGCAAATACCCTTCCCTGAGAGTTCAATTAGATACATCACAGTTATACAGAATTCAAATATGTTGTAACAGATCTGTTCCTTTCTAATTTAGTTCTATGAACACACCTGTGTACATATGAAGGTAAGTTATTGCATGAGCTACATCAATTGCTATGTCTAGACGCTCCCCCATTTCTAATCCTTCTCCCCGAATCCCTGCAATATAATTTACTGCTTTTTTAGTCACCACTGTGTTGTATAATTAAGGAACTGCATCAGAGTATTGCTTTATTGAATAATGAACAGTATATAGACTGCATGAGCCTACTTTGGTAGATGGCTGGATACACAGGACTTACCATCAAGGTGTTCTCGAAGGTTACCATTACCAACATATTCAACAACAATGATCTTCTCATTTCCATGTTCCAAATATCCATACAACCTCACCAGATTCCGATGCTCAATTTGAGACAAGGTGTATATTTCATTCTTGAACTCGTGTAAGTGACTGTGTATTACTTCCTGCAAGGAATTCACTACATTAGGCTCATATCACATAACAGAATTTGTGAAAGACAGCAATCTGATGGACATGTTTCACTTTCATCATCTACAGCACAATTGAGCCAATTTTGAGATGGGAAACAGTCAAATATGAACATTAATTTACCTTCTTGGCACGCTTTACGGCAACCATAGATCCATCATTTAGTTTTCCCCTGTAGACAGTTCCGAAACCACCTTGTCCAATTTCATTATCTGGTGAGAATTTTGCAGTTGACTTGTAAATTTCTTCAAAGGAGAAGTTGCCAATTCCAAGTTGTCCACTTGCAGTGCTAGATGAGGCGTAGGAATAAGAAAACTTCCATTTTGATGAATTCTTGGTGTTACTCTCCGAAGATAAATCAGTTGATGCTGCAAATTGGCACATCTCAGTTTAAGAAAATCTCACTCAGAAGAATTCTACAAAAGCATCATGCAGAAGTGACTTGGCATTTGCCATCAGAACCCCAGTTAATATAAAGGGTTGATCTTGAGCAAGAACAACAAAATCATTTCAGATCACCAAAAAACCAAAACATTTTTCTATTTTCATCATCATACTTACATGATGCCACCCCTCTGACTTTAGATGTATTTTTTCTGTCATCATTTCCAACAACATAAGAGGCTGATTTTCTTTTGCCAAGGAGAAACAATGAAAAAATCTGTGCACATTTCTTCACAGCATTCTTGAAAGACTTGAGTGCAGAACCGGTCTTAGGATTGTGCCTCTCTTCATCATTGACTGTAGCAAGAACTTGGTGATTATGATTCTGTTTCCTTTGGCTAGATTGCTGAAATTTGGGAGATGCTGTTTTCTTCATTTAGAGATGGCAGAGCTATTCAAAGACCAGATCATTTCTTGTGTCAAAAATATAAAGAAGAAGGTCTGATATTCATTCTGCTCATCTGTTACTTTCTTGCCTCATAATTTATTTGTCTCAGACCATTTCTTCATTCACGTTTTGTATCAGTCCAATCAACACAAGTAGGTTTGCCTTTACAAGTTAACATTTTGAAAGTCAAAGTCATAAATATTCTACCAATCATCAAACACGATCAAACAATTACCTCAAAATAATAATCATGATAAACTAAGTCACATTTTACTTTTTTAAATGGAAAATATTGTCAAATAAAGTTAAAAAATTAAAATTACTTTCATTTTAATATCTCTTTGAACAAGCTTATTTATAGAGAGAGAAATGAGTGACATTTTACAGTTTGAAAATTAAACGATGAATTTGATGATTTATTAGGAAAAAACTAGGTCAACGGTTTTGTTTTTGTGTGATACCAGGTCAATTGCTAGGTGAGTGACATTTTGTAACATAACATCATGGCCGGCCTCAGATCCAACGTCCAATTTTGGCCAATGGTGTTCATCCACGTCAGTCTTTACTTTTCCAACTGTTTCTATTTTTTTCATTTTTCAGATAAGAAATTATTTTCATTTGATGGATTGGGTTTTTTTTTTTAAAGTACAATAGTTTTTTATTTTTCTTAAGAACATTGGTAAACAAATCAAATATTAGTTAAAGTGCGTGTTTATATAAAATCATTTTATGGAAGTAAAATTGTACAGATATATATTAATTAAGATATTGTATAATAACTCTTGTAATGTAAGATTACATGTCATAAGAATAAAAAAAAATCATTTCATAAATCAATAAGAAGATATCATTGAAATATTAAACTTAACCGTGTTTGACTTAAAATTTATATATTCAACCTTACTTTGTACTCTAAATTCACCTTTTTGTAGCATACTATTTTAGTTAAAAAGTGAATTTTCATTCTTCAGTGCATTTTTTCTTGTGGCACCTCTGTATTTTACATGTTCAATTTTTCTCTGCAATAAATTTCCAAAAAAGTTAGGTTACTCTTTGTTTTTAATTTTTTATTTTAAAATTTGTTTATATATATATATATATATATATAATTTTTTTTTGTAGTTTTTTAGATAAGTAAATTGTAAATCCTAAACCCTACCTTATAATGTCAATGCATACCTATTTTTTCTTGCTAGGTACTGAGTTACATTATACTAACTGATTATAAATTATCACATATGATCTAAATAATATTAAAGAATTTTTATAGTAATTATTTTAAACAATACTTAACAGTATTTAATAATTATTTACTAAAAATTAAAATCAAATAATGTTTGTTTTCTCCTTAAATATGTAAATTTACTTGTATTCCTTTATAAAATTGAAAAGTATTCATCATCTTTTCAGTATTATCTTTATTCACCGATGCTAACATAAATACTCAATGAATAATGCTTGAAGCTGAATAAATAATCAAAATAGGAAATATTTTATTAAAAATATTAATATATCAATCATAAATTTTAGCAAAAAATATTAAGATAATAACCTTTTACTTTACACTTACACAATACCAATAAAACTATATTTTTATTTTTACAGAATATAAAAGTTAAATAAAAAATGTAAAAAGAAATAAATTTTCACTAAATTTTGAATAGAAATAGAAAAGGTTGAGATGTATCCAAATATAATTTTTCAAATTATTATTCATAAGCTTTTTATTATGATTTAAATAATGAATATACTTAAAACATAGTTAATTGGACTCAATTTATAAGTACACTTTACCCCCTTCTAATAAAATTGATTTATTATAAATTTAAGTAAATTTTTCAATCCCTATTATCTTGAAAGATAAATAAATAAAAAATAAATATATAGAATATGTTATAGACTCAATCGATATAAATGTGTGGGTCAGTATGAGTTGTATATGCTGTGGAAGTCAAACTTGCACATCAAACCTTTGGTCACTAATTCATTGCATTTATCTTCTATTCCATTCAAGAATCTTCAAAATAATTTTAGAATACTCCTTCTTTATATGCTGGAGTTGTTTATATTTTTCTCAAAATATCATATATATTTATTAATATTTTTACTCAAAAAAAATTGTTCTTCTAAGATAGAGAAATTTATATTTTTTTAAAATTTAAAATTATTTTTTTAAAATCTGAATATCAAATTGTTTAAAAGATGAATTATTATTCTTCTTATATCTTAACTAAAATATATATTTTAAATGCATTTAATAATATTGAAATTAAATATAATTTAAATATATATTTTTCTACATATTTTAAAAATAAAATCTTAACAATTTTAAATTTTAAGAAAGATAATATTTCAAATATCATAATTAATATTAGTGAAAGCATGTGTTTTATTTTTTATATGATAACAAAATATAATGAAATTATAATTATAAAAATAAATATAAATAATTTCTTTTATTTATTTTATAAATATTTTTTATTTATTTAATTTTTAAAATGATTAAAATTAACAAAAAAAACTAAATAGGAAAACGAATAAAAATTGAAAATAATAGTAACACGGAAAAAAAGAAATTTTTATATTATATATAAATAAATGTAAAAATAAGAATAATTAATATTTTATTAATATCTGTGGCATGAAATACAAGACACACATACAAAGAGAGACTTGAAAAGCTTCCGGTGAAAAGAACACATGGATAAATCGAAGATAATTCATCCTTAAAATTTTCTTGTTTCAAACATTAATATACTAATCCCGGTAAATTATGTCAGCTGAGTTTAAACAAAATCATATTCATCAACAATCCACCATTCATTTTCCTTCTACCATTACGCAAAATTAAGTGAAAATTTGAGCTAAATAAACCAAAATGATAATCAATTTCCGAAAATGGTGAATCTAAAACATCATCAAATTCTCACCACCAGCTCCAAAACAAAAACAAAAGACCCAGATGAACTTCAAAACCAAGCTTCCAATTCCTCCAGAAATAATATATTCACAGCAAAATAATCCATAAGAACCCATTTGCAAACTCATTCACCTCTATTTCACTTGTGAAAGTGTAAATCCAGCAATGAAAAAAGTATAAAACAAAGCAACAAAACTTCATAAGTCAGTAAATTTACTCAATTTCTAATAATTAACTTGCAATTAATAGGAGAATTGGAATAACACTAAACAAACTTGATTACTTCATGCTCCATCAAACAGAGAACAATCAAGCTATAGAACCATTACACAAAACACATAGGCCATACATTTACAAAACGAAAACCCAGAAAACAAAACCTAACCCAATATGCCCAATACCAGAACCCCTCAACCTCCAAATCCATAGAGGGTCCTTCCCTGTCTCTTGAGCGCATACACAACGTCCATGGCCGTCACCGTCTTCCTCCTAGCATGCTCCGTGTACGTCACCGCATCACGAATCACATTCTCCAAAAAAATCTTGAGAACGCCGCGAGTTTCTTCGTAGATCAACCCACTGATTCTCTTCACGCCACCTCTTCTCGCCAACCTTCGAATGGCGGGCTTCGTGATGCCCTGGATGTTGTCACGGAGCACCTTGCGATGCCTCTTGGCGCCTCCCTTTCCCAAACCCTTGCCACCCTTTCCACGACCCGACATTGTTCAATTGAAATTCGAATTGGGATTTTGTGAAAAGTTGAGAAATTAGGGATTTCTATTGATGGAAAACAGCAAGGGTGGGAAGTGGTATTTATTTGGAGCGGGAAGAGTGCGGATATGAATCTCGAGGTGTTTCTTGCATCGTGGCCGCTCGTGGTTTTTTAATCGACGGGTTGTGTTTGTGATCCGTGGCAAGATATACAAGTCTTTGCGGAGCGTTGATGGCAATACTTGGACGGTTGGATTGGCTTTTGAAAATAAGCTATGGATCGCAAGCTGCTTTACTTTACCATCTTTTAGTTGTGTAGTCTAAGAAAGAAATATACATCTAAAATTTAATGATATTATTTTCTATTACTAGAATAAGTGAAGTTTATATATTTAAACTCATAAAAAATATTTTTCTCACAAGATTTCCACTTACAGTGAACAATAAAGTTCTAAGAACTTGTAAAATCTTCAAAATTATTTAAATTAGTTTTAAATTATCTTCTATAAAAAAAATAATCATTGTGGCGACCTATATATAGTTTACTTAAGATCTTAAATTGAGATCTAACACTAAAGAAAAATTTGAATGCAATGTTGAGAAATATTATTATATCCTACGTGAGACAAAGATATCTACCAAAAACTAGTGAAAATCTCAAAAATATTTTTAATTTAATTTTAAAATTTTTGTTTTTTGTTAATGTTGTCATTCTTCTTGCAAAAATTATGGTGTGGCGAACATTTCATCTGGCTGAAACAAATAATTAGTATATTACTTAGATTAAAATTTAACAAATATATAAGTGTTAGAAGCAAAAATAATTATAATAACTAAAAGGAAAAGAAAAATACATATTTAAAAAAAACAAAACTCAAATATTAATTATTTTTCATTTTTAATATTTTTTTCTTTTACCTTGTGTTAAATATAATAAAACTAAATATATGGTTAATTTTTCTTGTTTAGAAAAAAAAAAAAATATATATATATATATATATATATAGAGAGAGAGATTAATGTATTTACAATAATGACAATGTGAATTAAGGATAAAAACAAATTAATATGAAAAAATAAAATAATTAATATAAAGACTATGTTTTCCTAATTAATATAACACTTCCAATCAAGTTCGTGGATATAGGTTATATCTATCAAACTTATTATAAATATAATTAATTCTTGATCCAAGTAAAGATTTGGTGAAAATATTTGTTAATTGATCATTTAAGTTAACGAACTGAGTCTTGATATTTCCAGATGCAATTTTCTCTTGAATGAAATGACAATCAATCTCAGTGTGTTTGGTCCTTTCATGAAAGACAATATTAGAACTATTATGATAAATAACTTAATTGTCATATATAAGTGTCATTTGACTGGTGTCTCCAAATTATAACTCTTTAAGCAGTTGTTTAAGTCAAACAAGTTCGAAAGTTGCTCAAGCCATAACTCTATATTGTGCTTTTTAACTAGATTTTGCCACAACATTTTATTT